TGTCATTTAAAAAAAGAAAGATTCCTGTCAAAGACAAGTTGGTTAGGACTATAACCATGGACACTGTGAAGTGTATTTTTGGCATTTATGACCCATGCAAGTGTTACATCAAAACTACAACTTGTGTCTTCAATGGTTTACTTCACCATTTCTCCCAGTATCCCTTTGTGTCAATCATTCAAACCATTGCTCCATGGACTTTCAGCAGCAGTAATATGTACTACAATATTCAAGTTTTGTGTCATGTCCCTAAATGTTTGGTTATTGAACTCTCTGCCATAGATCCTGAAGTGCCAAAATATGCTATCCAGTGTGTGAATATAGCAGTAAGAATGTCAAAACTTTCCTTACTAAGAATCCTGACTTCAACACTGTATCTTGTACCATGATCAATTAGATGCAATATTTTTTCCCATTAATTTCTTTTATATCCATGGCAATGCTTTCATTCATATATGATCCTAATGAGGACCCAACAATGAGCCGAAGTCCAGTCTTTTTGTAAACAAATGGATATTTCACATGAATTAGGAAATTCTTATAAAATTTCTATGAATTCAGGGTCTTTTATTCCAACATTCTTAACTAGATCACACAATTTTACTACTTGGACAGATGAATTTTCTATGTAATTTTGTTGCAATTCTAATTTTTTCTGATCTGTTTTTGGTAGTAATTTATTTAATGAAAAGTATTTGATTAATAAACTTACCTCAGTTTGGTGGAGATCTGGTAATAGGGATGTGATAGTGACCAGACAAGGTACACCACAGTAGAATGTATTTTTTAAGCATTATGACACTGTCATTTCAATATTGGGACATACCTTTGCTCTTTTCATGGAATTTTTGCTTAATAAAAGTGGAATGCCTGAGTCCACAATATCAGTGACAATACTGACATCAATGCCAGCAATGAAACATGATAGAGTACCTGTGAACATTGATTTTAGTTTCTTTCTGTTACTGAACTTGTAAGTTCTTAGTCTTTCTTGGATATGTATGTTTTTGCTATTGTACAGGAGTGGTTTCCAGAAAACACTCATGCTATATAATCCCACAAACAGTAGCAGAAGCACCACTGTCTAAAACTACTAAACCAACTGTCTCACCCAAAAATGTTTGACCATTATCTTCTCACTTTTACTGATTCATCAACACGATGTTGGCTACAGAAATGTAGTTGTCCTTTTGACTCCTGTCTGGCTTATTACTGGTGCTATCAGTGTACAGACAATTCTAACTCTAATAGTACAATGGAATTTGCATCTACATGTGAAGCATTTAGTGATATTGCCTTCAGGTTCAAATGAGCCTGTCAGAAAATACTGGAATTTTGTTCTTATGTCCTTTTCTGCCTCTGTTACCTCGCCAACTGGAAAACCAAAAAGGACATCAGTTTGACAAGTGACTGTAATATACTTCATTAGTGTCTTCCTGCTTATTTTCATTGTAAGCACAATCCATATCTCTCTTTATCATACTTGGTGGAGTATTTGTTGATGAAGCATAGGAAAACTGACATTGCAGACAGTGTTAATTCACTGATGGTTGCTTTTACTAGTCGCACATTCTCAGGTATCAGATTTGTACTTTTTAATGCTCTGCAGGCAAGTACCAGCTATGGTAATTGCATTTTGTAGTCTATTAACTTTGTGACATGACAGTCAAAGTTAATAAGGTAGGTGTCTATTGACATGTCGCTCTGTCGTCGATATTGTTTGAATGACTCATATGTCATAAAAGCCGACCGGTTAGTTCCCTCTAAAAACAGCATATCCTACTTTTCATATAATTTTTCCATTCCATCATCAGCATCTAATGTGGTAATGTCCAGTATCAATATGGCCTCTCTAGCTTCTCCTTCTAGAGATAAAAATACTACAGGTGCACGGTGATTTTTGTCTATGCAGTTAGCAAGTTCCCAAACTTATATTTCTTTTTTCAGCTGTGTTTAAAATAGGTAGAGGAATAAATTTGGAAGCCATTTTGTTGATTGATCTACTCTGCTACCAATATAAATTCAAATTAAAGGAACTCAGACACGTAATGGAAAAAGAATGTTTTATTTCAACTCCATCATTCTCCATATGTGTGCGTTCTCTAAAATGGCCACTCAGGCCCTTTCAGGTAAACTGCCTCTTTTTCAGTTGAAGAGCTGCCAAGGGGAACAACTTGCAAAGATTAACAAACAATATCAAGATAAAGAGAAACAAACCAGCAGAACTAGATGAGACTGTCATAGAGATTCTGACAGTCTTATATGACTTTATGATTGCTAAAGTTCTTCTATGTAAGTGGTCATGATTCTCCACAACACTGTCCCTTATTGCCCTTAGCAATGTTTGTCCCATTAACAAGCCTTCTGGCTCCCATTCTGCCACCCATTCATGAGATTCTCAGGTAGGTGGCCTGCTGCATTCTCTTTTTCCTCTTGCCCTCAATATATCTAGTGAGTATCAAATTCTCCAAGATTTCTTTCTTCATTATGTGTTCAAGAAATTTCAGATATCTCTTTCTGATTCTGAGTATAATTGTCCTTAAGTCTTCTTTGTTGTATACATCCATGAAATTCTCAGCAACCTTCTGTAGAACCACATTTTTGTTACCTCAAGTCACTTTTTCATTTGTGAGGAAATTGTTCAGAATTCACTGCCATGCAAGAGGATTGATATTGCATAACAGTTCAGCACTCTTTTCTTTATTTTTAAGGAAATTTTCCTGTTTCTTTGAAATGCCCATTTCACTAGTCCAATGTACATCTGGATTTCAGTGTCACTTATTCCAACCTGTTAAAACACTTCCTAAAAGTTATAAATTAAATATACAATAGTGGTGAAATACCAAAAGATCTAAGTAAATCAATTTTCATATTATTGTCAAAAAAAAAACAAGAGTAAATGAATGAAACCTTCACTAAAAAATCAGGTTAATGAACTACATAACAAGTGGATTTTTTTTTCAAAACTGTCAATCTGAAAATAATGAATAGAACTTGAATTATACCAGAAATAAAGGAAGAACAATGTGATTTTGCACATGATGCTGGAACAAGAAATGCTATATTTTGGGTCAGAATGAGCAATAGAAAGGCAGAGAAACCTTTATCTACATTTAATAGATTACATAAAGGCTTTTAAATAAGTAAAACACAAAGAACTTCTGCAAATGTTAGGAAAGCTTGATCTATACAGAAAGGATATATGAATAATTCACAATTTGTATTAGAAACAAACAGTTTGTATGTGAACAGACAATGGATTACGCGAGTACATCAAAATAAAAAACAGTATATGACAATGATGTATTTTCTCACTGGATTTATTTATCATATACAGTAAAATGATTCTACCAGAATCAGATGACCAACCAGGATTTATTAACAGCAGACATTACCATAGCAGCAAATTGTAAGAAGATAGAATGCATGGTTGTTAGTAAAAGAGATAACCGAAGGTGTGAGTTACACATTGGGAATGTCAAAATCAAACAGATTCATACCTTTCCAATGGGTATTTGTGCATAAGTGAATGCAAATGAACCTGACTGGAATTCAAACTTGGGTCTCTGATTTCTCATTCCAAGAACAAATGCAGAAAAACCTATATCTATATTTCAGAGATTACAAAAGAGTAAGACACAAAGAAATGTTTGAGATATTAAAAAATCTCAATTTACAAAAAAAAGATATTTAAGTAATCTGTAACTTATACTGGGAACAAAAAGCCTGCATGCAAACTGAGAACAACTTTAGTGAATACATAAAAATAGAAAGGGGAGTATGATAGAGACTCCTTTTCTTAGTTGATTTATTTAATCTGTAGATATGGATATCCTCAAGCATGTGTTAAATAGTAGTGTCTACATGTCTCTAGCCTTAGTGGAAGTTAGTCTAAGAGAAAGACTACTGTGAATTCAAAACCATAGAGAAGGCAATGGGAAAAAGACCCACTGTTTTCTTAATAAATCATGGCAATTCACAAATAATAAAGAAAATGAATCTGTGGAGAGCCATGATCACTTACATTCTGAAGAGACATTAAAAATACAGCTAGGCAAACCTGAAAGGACTAGGACTTATTGGTAGACATAAACTTAACATACAATTCACAGATGACACTGTGTTGATTGCAGAATCCAAATGAAAACTAAACAGACTTTTAGATAAAGTAGTAAGAGAAAAGGACTGGCCATTAATTGTAAGAAGACAGAATGCATGGTTGTCAGCAAAAGAGCTCAAATTCTAAAAACTACACACTGGGGATGATCCAATTAAATAAGTGTGAAAATTCAATTATCTGTGTAGTGTAATGACAGATATCAAAAAGGGTGACAGAAATGTGATAGCACATAGGAATTGCAAAAGATTCTATTCAAAAAATGAGTGATGTAGTAAGGCATAAAAAAAACATAATAGAAATGAAGAAAGGATTGATTGACAGTCTTGTGATGTTTACCCTCCTTGTGAATGACTGCTGGACAATTTAATTACAAATGAAAAAAAATGTTGAGAATAACATGGACTGATTATTTGATAAATAAGGATGTTCTCAGCAGAACTGAAACTACAATGAAGAGAAGGATTGGAGAAATGAACACTCACAGGAAACACTGAAGTCAAGAAAGACAAAAGAAAGCAGTGAGTAATCTATTTGACAATTTTCTGCAAATAAATAGAGGAAGAAGTGCCACAAAAAGAAAAAAAGGGTCATAAAATATGATAGATTGATTTATTTTTTACAGCCTATCAACCTTTTGCAGATTATTTAAAGCCAGAAAATATATTTTTTTTAGAATGTAAGAATTTTGGGGAGATAATAATGATTTACTGATACAAGTCCTACTAATTAACCCATAGCTGGAGGGAGAAGAGGTGGATTCATACTTATCCCAAGGGTCTTTGTGTGTACATGAATATAAGAAATTGGATTAGAATTGGAACTCAGCTCTCTGATTAACAATTCTGAGCTGTTATTCATTATGCCACCTTTTCATCTAAACTTACAGTACCTGGTGTTCTCAAGCAGTCACCCATCTAGCTACTGACCAGCCTTGACGTGGCTTAACTTTGGCGATCATACAAGAACTGGTGTTTCAATATAATATGGCTGTAAGCCACCATAAAGTTTAACTGAGAGTAACTAAAGACAGGAAGCTGTGGAGAACTATGATTGTCATGTCCTGAAGGTATTCAGCACATGAAGAGATAAAAAGAGAGGAAAACAAAATGGTTACTTGATTGGTTGATTGGTCAGTTGTTTTTTTTTAGTGTCATATCCATCTCTATGGGTTATTTAATGGAGAAATCTAAATTTTTTGTATGCAATTTTAATTTATAATTATAATTTAATTAGCTCATAGCTGGAGGAGAAGTGGTAGATTCATACCTTTTCCAAGGATATTTGTGCACACATCAAAGCTTACAGCACCTGATGTTCACAAATGGTCACCCATCTAAGTACTGACCAACCATGCTTGATGTTGCTTAATTTCGGTGTTTATATGAGAACCTGTGTTTCAATGTGATATGGTTGTAAACCACCATAAAGTATGGCTCAAAGCAAGTAAAGACAAGAAGCTGTGAAGAACCATGATCGCCATCATCCTTAAGGTACTCAGCACATGGAGAGATAAAGAGAGAGAAAAGTAAAATGGTTATTTGGAAAATGGGCATTATTTTCATTTATAAGAAAAATATGACCATAAAAACTTATTAATTTCACAAATATCATGAATGCCTTTTTATCTGAAGTATTTTCTCTCAGTTTTTTCTATATATATATATAAATATAATATATATATAATATATTTTTCTAAATTAATAAATGTGGTTTTATGCCATTTTATTTTAAGATAGATTCAAACTCAATGTATCTCTGTCACAGCTTTTATTCTTCTAGATACTTGCTAATCCCATCACCAAATTTACCATCTGATATGTTCTCAGGGATTACTTGGCCTGATAATTATATGTACAAGATAAAACATATCTGATAATAACAAGTGTTACCTGAAATTTTATAGAATTTGAAAAAAAAAAAATTCTTAACTTATATCTGTCCTTCTTTAATATAGTCTCTGACCTGCTATTTCTACTCTGGTCATGGCAAGTTTTCCTAATATATTTTTGAAAAAAATTCCATAGACTTTTGAACACACTATTCAAATTCCCCAAACCTTTGGGTAGAATGTTGTAGATTATATCATTCATTATAAGGCTCTTTTTATTTTGCTTCTGAAAAGAGAAAAAAAACCTCTAATCCTAATCTGCTGAACATGAAAATAAAGACATCCCCACTTCCCTATTAGCTGATCTTAAGGGGTTAGGTTTAAAGGTTAAAGGGTAAAAAAATAAATAAATATAAAAGGTGGAAAGGGAGCAATCTATTGTTGTGGTCAGAATCAGAAAAAGAGTGTGACCGAGAAAGAATGATGGATGAAAGAAGTGAGAGGCCCGAGTGAAGATGTTGAAATGTCAGAGTGCATGTAAAATAAAGAATATTTGTGTGCAGGTTGATTTCATTATAAGCAGTAATGAATGGCACAATGAGTCCATTCTGATTCCACTTATGATTTTAATATTTTAAAGACAGGAAGATATTTGGATGGCCCTTGACAGTATGTATACACAGATTGTGATTGTCACATCTTACTCTCTCACATCATTTGTGATGGCTTCCATCTCATTTCAGCATCCATGGCCCCTAAGATGACACTTGAGACTAGCATTCAACCTCATAGGCATGACCTACAATCTGTTATTAAATGGGGCAAGGAGTGGCTTGTTAATTTTAACACCTCTAAAATGAATCTGCTCTCTTTTAATCATGAGAGAAACATTTTTAACTACCATCACTATGGCTGATGTTAACTTTCAGGATAGTAACTCATTGCATCTTTGCAGACTAACATTTTCAGCTGACATGAAGTGGAAAGATTATATTGAATCAATTGCTAGGTCTGCTCCTAAGAAAGTTAGTTCCTTGTATTGTGCTAGACAGTTTTTCTCTCCAGAATCTATCTTACATATTTATAATTCTACCATTCATCCATGTATTGAATATTGCTATAACATCAGGTCTAGTGCACCTGTAATATATTTAGAGATTCTTGATAAAATCTAAAGAAGAATCTGCAATGTTATTGGTCCTGACCTGGCATCTTGGCTTCAGTCACTTTCCCATTGTCGTAATGTAATTTCCTGTGTCTTTTCTATTAATACTTTCTTGGTAATTGTTCTAATGAACTCTCTGCTATGGTACCTAGCGTTTATGAATTTAATTGTAGTACTAGATTGGCAGTAAGGTGACATCATTTTACAGTTGAAATGGCTAGATGTAACCGTAAGTTCTATGCTAACAGTTTCTTCTATCACACTTTTCACTTGTGGAACTCTCTTCTGTCTTCTTGCTTCCCAATCAAATTTGATCTTCAAAAATTTAAATGCAATTTCAATTGTTATTGTTTGTCTTCTGATAAGATTTTAGCCATGCTTGATTACAACAATTTTGGCTTATTTAATAACGTCTCTTCTTTTTTTTTAGACAATACTGTGTTAGTATCAAGCTACTCTCATCTATGAACAATAGTTGACATATCTTACAATGAAATAAGGAAATTAATGAATTTTAACAAGAGCAAATAATAGGATGGCATCAGTGTGGCAAGTCAAATAGAGAAATTTGTAGGTTTTTCCAGGTTAATCTCATCAAATATTTAATAATGTTGTCAGGAAATTTAAGGAAGAAGACCATTGTCATATGGAACAATGTTCAAGAAGACCAAGAGTCATGTCTGAGTGAACAAAATGGGTACTGAATAGGGAAGTCATCAGAAACTGTCGTCAGAGTGTCTAAGATGTTGTCAGCAACATGGAAATGTCGCCATATGCAGTCAGAAAGACTCTGAAAGAACTAGGCTATCAAAGAAGAGCTGCAAGAAAGAAGCCCTTGATTTCAGAGGTTAACAGGGACCTTTATATAGGTTGAGCGAGAGAATTTGAGAGCAAAAATTATGAATTTTGGCAGTCTGTAATTTGGTCAGATGAAAGTAAATTCTACCAATATTCTAATTCGAGATTAGTTTATGTTTGGAGAAATCATAATAAGACTTGGAACACTGAATGTATGCAGGTGACCATGAAACATGAAGGGATTGGAGTAATGGTGTGGGGCACTGTCTGGTTTGGAGGGAAATCTGAGCTGATTCTTGTTGACAAGCAGTTGAATGGTCCAAAATACTGTCATAGAGAAAGAACTACTCCCACAATTTGTAACCAATCAGATTGACAAGAATGTCTACCTTTTTCAAGAAGATGGAGTGCCATGTTGTACGAGCAAAGTAGCAAAGGACTGGAAGGAGGAATCATCACTGCCATAGGTAGCCCAAAATCCTGACATGAATCCAAAAGAGCACATTTGGGAGCACCTTGACCGAAGACTTTGAGAGCATGCAACCAAAATCACATCAGTGGCAACCCTTAAAGAAACATTGCTAAAGGAGTGGCAAAATATAGCTCAGATGATTGTTGATAACTTGATCAAATCCATACAAGCACTGAAACTAGCAACTGGAGGACCTACTCCATACTAGTTCCAAATACTGTTTGTTTATGTTGAATAGGGATTATGTAATTAAATTTTGAAATTGGATGTAATCTATTTCTCCTGGCTAAAAACTTTTCTTAGGCCACTGTATGACAGATAAACTCTGTATCCTTAATTGGATCAGCATGCTTTATAACTCTCCTGTATACAATCATGTGCCTCTTCAGTGTAGATGATGATCAGCAAACCTTGTTGCAAAATACACAGCTATTGTTGGCCGAATGATGAGGCAGGTTGGTATAGTTGGCTTGCTTCTGGTTGTCATGATGATCTTTCAGATGGTTTATATAACCTGCCCTTGACAATAGCATGCACCCACACGCACCACATTTCCAAGATTGCATATTAGTTGGCAAACTCGAGTGAGTGCCACTTTGGAAAATCATACTTGAGACATTTATCCTCAAAGATATTGCATTCCTCCCTAATAAAATGCCTCTACTCTGTAAGATTACACATATATATATGTATATACTTACATATCTACAAGTTTGGTTAAATACTAATGAAGATTCCTTGTTGACTATTATTTTATTTATTTCTTTGATATTTCTGAGTATTTTCTTGGTTTCAGATTCACATCTGAAAATATATTTTCCTGTATGTGAGTAAATAATAAAAAATAAATTAAAAAATAATTAACAAGAAAATTTGTTAGCATAGCATTTAACCAGATTTATATAAATTAAAATTGCTGCCCCCAAATATACCCAATATATATATATATATATATATATATATATATATAAGGAATTAACGGATTTAATTTCCAAACTGATACTACTTCTTACTGATTAAAAGATTATCTTAATAAAATCTCTCTCTCTCTCTTTATATATATATATATATATATATATATATATGCATGTGTGTACCATGATAATAAATAATAAAAACACATAAATAAAAATAATTACCAAGGAACAAGTTGATATTTAACCAAACATGTATAAATGAAATATGCCTATATATATATATATATATATATATATATATATATATATATATATATACACACACACACACAAGAGGGGGACCCAAAAGTAACTGGAATAGTTTTCTGTGTGATAAGCCCAAAGTAGTTCAGGCTTCCACCACTAGATGCCACTTGAGGCAACCCTCAGGCATCAGTGTGCTAACTGGTGTCATCGTAGGAAGATGTACAGCTCTGTGGTTCACATTTGTTTTGAAGTGCTTCATGCCTTTTCGCCTATTTTTACCATGGTTGAAAGGATGCCTGTCATAAACTGAAAGAACAGTTGGAAGTTGATTCAGATCTTTTTTCGAAGGTCATCACTGGTGACAAAAAAGTGCGACCGGAAACAAGCAACAATCAAGTGGAAGCATCCAACGTCACCACGACCCAAAAAGAAGCACGTCAAGTGAAGTCCATTGTCGAGATGATACTGATTTGTTTCTTTGATGTGAAAGGAATTCTTCACAAAGAATTTGTTTCTCCTGGTCAAACTGTTAACTGGGCTTTTTACTTGGAAGTCCTGAAGCATTTGCAAGACAAGGTGAGACAAAAATGCCCTGACCTGTAGCAAAGTGGAGGGTGTTGGTTGCATCACAAAAATGTGCCAGCACACACCGCCTTGAATTTGAGACAGTTTCTGACCAAGAATGGCATGACCCCACTTCCCCACCCTTCCTATTCACCCGATCTCACCCCCTGCAACTTTTTTGTTCCCCGCAAATGAAGAAAGTCCTCAAAAGAAAATGTTTTGCAGATGCGGAAGTGTTTAAGAAGAAAACGACGGTGTCATTAAAACATAACTTCACAAGAGTTCCAGGACTGCTTTGAACAGTGGAAAACATGTCTGGACCTGTGCATTGCTTCAAATGGAGAATACTTTGAAGGTGATAAGAATATAAACATGCAACAATAAATGAATAAAATCATATGGCACAATTCCTGTTACTTTTGGG